TTTCTTTATGCATTCCTATGTTGATGGACACCTGATACATAACATCAATATGTACATGTTTCATGTAAAGAGAAGTTAAACTGTCTAGGGGAAGAAAAGGGAATAATGGGGGGGGGGCGTAGAAGAATGACGAAGAGGAGGTTTGCTGGGAATGGAGATAATATGCTCAAAGTATATTCCATGCTTGCATGTAAAGAACCATTCTATGCTTTCATGTAAAGAAACTTATGTAACCCAATTAAAGTTTAAAATTTTAATATAATATGTAAAAACTTTAAAATAAAAAAGAAGGCTGGGTATTTTGAGTATTTTATCTAGAATGTAATCAACAACTGTCTAATTGGAATTAAGGCCAACTCAATGGGAGGGATCTCATGTGCGATACTATAAACATAGCCAAAAACACATGGCAGGAGAGGTCATAGATCCTAGAGATAAACCTACTTTTGCCACATTCCCTACACCAATACAATTTCTTATTTTATTTTAAATATGTATCCTCATATTTACAGACAAGCGTACCTTTCACCTGTCATCAAAGAAGCTTCTTTTTGCAATATATGGAAACTATTACAGAGTTCCAGAATTGACCAAATGCAGAGAATAAATATCTATGAGATATTTAACCCTAAGTGATACATCATCAATACAACTTTTACACATAAAATGAATGTACCTCTCAGCTCTCACCAGAGAAGTTTCCTTATGCAGCAGATTGTTATTAACACAGAACCTTCAACTGTCCAATGTGCAGAGAGAAAGAGGTTGCTGAATATTTATCCCAAAATAGGACACTTATTTCAAACCTCTACCTCCCAAGGCTCAGGGATCATTTTGGAAGAGGAGGCAGAAATACTGTAAGAGCCAGAAGCAGTGGATGACCACAAGGAATCAGAGTCTTCCAGATAGTTGGTCAGTTATTCATATAAACTCACAGCATGCACAATGTGCACAGTATGCACAAGTCCCATGCAAGCTCAAACCAGACAAAATCCCAGCATAGACATGGAAAAGTGGGTAAGAAATCCAAACCCAGCCTAAGGAACTTTTGGCAATTGATGTCTGCTGGGAGAGGAGGAGACAGTGTCTTACAGGGATGGGACACTTGGTGGGCCCAGTGGATGGACCCACACTGAAGGACATTTGGGAAGACAAATCAGATTCTATAGGGTATATTATATAGCAGGGAGTGGTGCAGATGAGGAGGGGATAAAAATATCATCAAACCATATTATATAAAAATTGCAAAAATTCAATAAAAAATAAAATTAAAAAATGAAGGAACCTGAATTTAACCTGTAACTTGAGTGCTGGGTCTTCAAAGTCATGCTAGCATCAAATGAGGAAAAGCAGAAAATAACATAGGTGTGAGCCAAGAATTCAGCTATTCACTTTATATATGCTACTCTGTTTAAACTTCAGAATAATCCAGAAGATACACCTGCTTGTTTTACAGATGAAGAAACTAAGTCATAAACGCCAAGCAATTTTCTCAAAATAGCAAGAATGAAAACTGGAAATTTATGGTTTCATTTTTGTTCATGTGAGGTGGTATGTAAACACAAAACTTGTACATGTTCATGGAATACAGTGTGAAGTTTTTATACATATATACCTTGTAGAACATCTCAAATATTACAGCATTTATCAGATCACTAACATAAATAAGATGTCATTGTTAGAATCTATAGTTTCTTCTTCTTTTTTTTTTTTTTTTTTTTTTTTGTCTTTTAGAGACAAAGCTAGCCTGGAACTCACTATGTATATCTCACAGATCCACCTGACTCTGCCACCAGAGTGCTGGAATTAAAGGTGTATACCACCATGCCTGGCATAGTCTATCATTTCTTAATAACAAAAGCACCCAAAATCCTTTCTTCTAGCTTTTTCAAAAACATAGTACTGCTTGTTCTGTATATCTACCCTACCATACACTAGTATACCCAAACTCCTTACTCCTGTCTAGCTGTAACTGAACATTCATTGATCAACCTTTCTCCACACAGCTGGGGTTTAAAACTAAGTTTGCCTAACCCCGTACTATATGCTCTTCCTGATATAACAACAATTTGGAAAAATGGGAGTTTTGTTTACCAGAGACATGAAGATAATTCTCGACTATCATTCTTTGGTTATAAAGGTTTAGCCTGGGTACCTGCAAAGTGGGAGTAGAAATGCATCCAAGCAGGCTTTTAAAAAAAATAAGCATTGCCTTCTTTGTTGTAGCTCTCTCTATTTCCTCGTCGAAAGCAAAGTGCAGGCTGCCTAGCAACCAAGCTAATGGCGTCTTTTTCACCTTAATTACCTTATGTTTTCCACAGGCTCAAAGGGATTGAATCAAATATCAAGAGTGCAAGGTCTCAGTTTTTTATATCAATATATCTGTTCATACATATTACAGTGCACACACGCGCACTCATGCACACACATACACACACACACACACACACACACACCTCTCTTCTTCCCTGAATGACATAGTTGATTAAAAGAACAAAATGACTTCTCAGACTGTATTTATGTGATGCCATAGCATTGGTTTAAAGGGCACACAAATTCACCACCTGATTACCTGCTTGTAAGTACAATACAAAAGAACTGGTTTGACCAAGCATTCTTAGCAATTTAAGAAATTCTTCCAGTTCCTGTCTAAACTGAACACTTATTTTCAGCGCTCTCTCTCTCTCTCCCCCCCCTCTCTCTCCCTCTGTGTGTGTGTGTTCTTGTGTGCATGAGTGTGTGTGTATGTGTGTGTATGTGTGTGTCTCTTTAACCAGAGATTCCTGATAGATATATCAGTAGTGATACAGATCAAATCCAGTCACTGTCAGTATCTCTAACAGTAAATTCTCTTAATAGAAAAAAATAAGAGAACTCTTTGCCCTGAGGGGAAGAAATCATATATAAACTAAGTTTCATCCAGATCACTTATTCAGAGAGAAACACCCCAATGGACAAAGAAATAAAAGTATAACATTAGAGAATGTGAAACTTAAACCTAATCACCTTGCCTATTTGAGCCATCTTATTGCTAACTGAATTTCACACTTGCTCATACTCTGCTGACAGCTCTAGGGTTAGTCACAATGGTCTTTTTCCTTTTTCCAGATTATTGATGTAGAGACGTGTATGGGACACAATTGTGACCAAAAGAGTGTGGAGAGAATTCTGCCTGTAGAACTTCTGGAACATAATTCTTCAACCCTGAACAAAGATTCAAGAGGGAAACATTCCTATTTTTCATTTTAGGGCATTTGCATTTGTATATGTTTGCAACTGTGGCAGCCATTTTGGGACCATAAAGGGAATCAGTTTATGAGGCTAAGCTATGACTTGGGAAATGTAACAATGAAAAGAACTTGGTTCATTGATGACATTATTGAGCTCCTAGATTAACCTACCCTGAGGCCTCTGTTTCATATATTGCAAAACAATTATAACATAGGCTAATTTGTGTTAAACTCTTTGCTACTTACAGTCAGAATTAATAGCACTAATGCAATACGCTTAATAAATGGTTGAACTTTAAAATACATTTATATGCCATTCTAACTGTTTTATGCCATTCTAACTGCTTTTTAAAAATGTTTTATTTATTATTTTTATTTCATGTATACGAAGGCATTGCCTGCATGTATGTGAGTGCACCCATGTTGTGCGATGCCAAGAAGGTCAGAAGAGAGCTTCATATTCCCCTGGAACTGGTGTTAAGGATGGTTCATAACCGCCATGTGGGTGCTGGGAATCGAACCCGGGTCCTATGCAAGAGCAATCAGTGCTCTTAACTGCTGAGCCATCTCTCCAGCCCATCTAACTGCTTTTAAAAATACCTACTATTTACAATTAACTTCTAACCTATAGAAACTTCGTATGAGCTGGGATTGGAGGCACATGACTATAATCCTTGCACTTGGGAGATGGAGGCAAGAGGATTGCAATTTTCATGGCCTGCCTGGGCTGTATAGTGCAACTCTGCTGAGAGAGAGAGAGAGAGAGAGAGAGAGAGAGAGAGAGAGAGAAGCAAGGAGAGGGTGGGAAAGAGGAAAGTGAGGGAAGGAGGGAAGGACACTTCCATATGTATTTTTCTAATCTAACCAGCTTCATTTGCTTCGGTGCCTTCCCTTCATTTTCCTTTGTGTTCTTCCTCTTTGCTTTGTGCTCCTTTGTACTCCTCCCTTTTCTCTGCTTTCTTCCCCTCCCATTTTCTTCCTCTAGGCCTTCAGGAGCTATGACTTGAACCTTCAATATCTCTATACATATGTGTACTTATACATCAGTGAATGCTATTTCTCCTATAGTAGAAGGGAGGACTTCTTTCTCAACCCAAAAGATTCCTTTCATAAAACAGCTCTACCGGTAAAATTCTCCAAGCTTCTATCCCCCCACTTCGCCACTCCTCCCCACAAAGCAGTAGTGATGTTAATCTGACTGGCTAGTTGGAAGACCGAAGCATGCACACCTCAGCCATTCCTGTATTCTTTCTCTTGGGACAGGATTACCTACAGGAAGTATGCACTCCTCTCTGTTCCTCCAGACTGTATGTTTTACCAAACGCCTGCCCTCAGTGAGCAGGAATCCAGTGGTCCAGCAATGTTTGTGATTAAGATGAGTCTGTTTCATCCTCAGGTTCAGTACTGGGAAGATCAAATGTCGACAGGTAGAAATCACATTCTCCATAACTAGTATTCTCAACAATATAGGGGCACTTTCTTATATGCCGACTCACTTGTCTTATTGGTGAATTGGTTCCAAACCTGAGTCACAAGTAACAGTTCTGATTTCTTACCTCCCCTGACCAGACCCAGCATATATTAAAATATTTTTGTTTCCTTGTTTCCAGTTACCAAAGTGAAGAGAAAGCTTACAGAGTAGGAAAAAATACATTGCCAGCTATTCATCTGACAGGGAATTAATTCTCAGAATATGTGATAGGAAAAAGCGATTTGTTTACTCAGTCTTTGAAGTTCTCAGCTCATGACAACTTGTGAGTCGGCACTTACTTGATGTGATTCCAGCTTCTCGGGAATTTCCCCACTAGCTGCAGCTTCTGTGTAGGCTTCGTAGAAGGTCTTTTCTTGGGAACCTACTGTAATAGTCAACGCATCATCATATGCTTCCTGGAGCTCTGCATTGTTCCTCAGGACCTGGTAGGGGGTGTGCTTATAAGGTAAACTATAGAGCAGAGCATCATGGGGAACAAAGACCTAAGTCCCATCAGTCATTTTCAGATCATGAACCTATTCCAAGAATCGAGTCTGGGTCTCTCCCCCAGTCAAAGCCAAATGCATACACATGATGATTGCTGAAACCAACAAAGCAAGGTTATGGTAGTACATTGTAGCACCAAAAACCAAACATGGGATAAATAAATAAATGAATAAATATGTTCTAATCAATCTTTCCTATGCCTACAGGATGAGCAAGATATTGAGGTCCTAAGTTAATCTGAGTTATGTTCGGGGAGTCTAGGATGCATATTGAGACAAGAGACGCTTGCCTACAAGCTGCAGAGCCTAATCCTAGACAGGAACAATAATATAAGTGGTGCTGGCTTAGCATAACAAAAGAGGCTTTGAGGGTGAAAGGGCCATTAAATTTATATCCTCATACCACCAGGAATTAGCTGTGTATCCCTGGGTAGATTACTTACCCTCAGTCTACCTCACCCATAAAATAGATGTGACAATACTTCATGAAGAAGCAGTGATAATTCATGGATAAAGCTCGTATGATGGACTTAGTACATAGGACTCAATAAAAAGTATCTACCTTCGAATCTAAGAAAGACAGATGGAAGAGATTCCCATAGCTGCTGTTGCTTTTTGCTCTCTACCCACTACAAACGTGCACCCCAATATTTTGATCAATGGTTCCCACTCTTACCAATGAATAGCACTAACACGTACTCACCTATAAAATGCTACTAATATCATGGACAATATGCTCAACTTTTTCAATCTAACTTCCCTGTAATTGGAATTACTTTGCACTCAATTGAATTCTTCCTCGACTTATAAAACTATGTTGTTTGGCAAGGCTATGCTAGACTAGAGTGGATTAGAGGGTGCCACGGTTGAAGAATGGCAGCTAGATGGTGAGACTGAAGTCTTATATTCAATTTCGTCCTTGGCATGCTAAATGAGTTCAGTTTAAGCCCACTTGTGCTTCAGTGCTCACATCTTTAAAATGAAGATTCCAATATGTTTCACAGGTATATTGAGTAGTTTAATTAGATAATGCTTGGCAAGTGTTCTGAGCTCGTTGTAGAAAGCAAAAGTCCTATCCACCACTGGTAAATATTAATTATACACACTTACATGGAACCTTTAATCTCAGGAACTAAGGGTGCTTAAATACATGCAATGACTCATTTTTGGTATTAACATATTGTTTCATCTACTTTCAAAAGTCTTCTTTATACTTTTTAAATACTTCTGGAAAGTTTTCTTTTGGAATTAAAGTTGTTATTCTTCAATTTTCTTAAGTGAGCCTTGTAACTTATAAGATTGATTTTAAACACATATATAAGACACATATAACCCAGAATAATATGAATTTTTAAATGATCATTAGCTCCTACAAAATAATAACCTTAAGAGGTTTTACATGTGTTCTGATGTTCCAACTTTCCCTAGACTTCTCTAAGAATGGGGCTAGAGAGATGGATGGCTCAGCAGTTAAGAGTACTAGCTGCTCTTACAGGGGATCCAGGTTCAGTTCCCAACATCCACATCACCTAACAATCATCAAAACTCCAGTTCCAGTGAATGTGATGCCCTCTTCTGGCCTCCATGGGCATCACACACAAATGGTGCACTTAAATACATGCAGGCAAAACAGTCATACACATAAAATAAAAATAAACAATTTTTTTAAAAATGACAAAGAATTCTCTAAGGATATCATTGGAGCTATTTCATGAGCCACACAAAGAGTTAAACTTCAGTTGTTCATAATTACATAATGTAAAGTGACAAGATATAATGCCAAAGAGGTTTAACAAGCCAAGAGTTAGATTTAGGAAGAGAAACTAGAACTGAAGGCAACACCCTCCCTATGTTTAGCTAAACTATCAAACATGAATTCTCAATTTCTCAAGTCATATGACTGTTGGAGAGGGGAGCCAAATCATGTGCTTCAGTTAGTTGGCTAGTGTAACTGTATTCTTCACAAACAAGTCAGCATTAGCACCTTTCTTCTGCAAAGGCAGTGATAAACTGACTTGATCAAGGTTACTTAATACAGTTCCACTTAATTCCCTTGAGGGATATTGAAATTACTTTGCTGCATAGAAAATGTTAAACAGAACTAAGTGCTTTCTGTTGGTGGAGAGACACATAAGTAGATGTAGTGGGTGCTATTATGATGTACCATCCAGAAACACACTTCAGGATTGAAGTACTCATTTCCTTAGCTACTGGGAATGTTAGCAAGTAATAGCTAATGCCTAACTGATAATTAACCTCAGCTGAAGAGAGCCACCTCTCACAAGGTCACAAGCCTTCAGCAGTGTGCTGAAGCTGATGGGTTGACTTACAGGAGCCTATGATTATATTTTCAAGGAATCTGTAAGCCATTTAACACTGTGTTAGTAGCTTGAAATTGGCCATGGTAGGAGTGATTTATACTATGGAAATCAGCAAGCTCTACAAATCAAGGTTTGTTTGTTTGTTTGTTCTTTGTTTGTTTGTTCTTTGTTTTTTGACTCCTGGAGAGATGTCATTAAAACAAGGATTAGCACACTACAGCCCTTCCTCTGGTTAGCCTTCACCTAATCAGAAGTGTGCATGGAGATCAAAAGTCCCAGACTCTATCACAATTCTTGCAGTGCCAGCTCCAGAGCACCCCTTGGGATCAGATGAGGATTTTTTTTTATTCAATTATTGTTAACCGATTCTCTAGTTTTTTCTCCTTCATGGATGTTATACATGATCACCAATAAGCTTCCTGCACTCAAAGCTCAAATTAACACTGGCTTCACTTCTCTACTGTACGATCAACGGACTTCTATCATGACACCCTCCATATTTATTGCCCTTATTTATGTATGACAGTTTCTACTATGAAACTACAGGCTTCTTAGAGTCTGAAACTGTGTCCTATTTACCTTTGTATCCTGATACAAGTGTGTATATGTATGGGTACGCGCGCGTGCGCGCGCACACACACACACACACATACAGACAATGAACATTCTCTAGATGAATGTATACTAGCAGATTCTTAGGAGGAAAGAGTATTAACTAGTGAATTTTTATTAAGATAGAGGAAAAATTGGAAGTAATACCCTTGGGTGCATAGGTACCACCAACCTTATATTTACTGCTTAGTGAAGTTAATTTGCCCAGGATCCTACCCCTAAACCTGAATCTCTATTTTTCATTCATTGGCACACACTAATAACATTCTAGATAAGGGCCCAAATTTTCATAACTAGAAAAACCCTTTGAGACTATCTAGCCAAACCTGTCCATCTTATTTTTTAGATAAACAAATGAAAGCCTTGAAAGAGAATAATCTCAGACTTGTCTATTTTTGCATGGCAAGGCCTTACCATTGAACACAATTAAAGTAAAAAGCATAAATACTGAATTCAAACAACAGCATATTAATTTAATAAATTGAGTGCTTCGTGCACAGGGATTTATGGATGCATCTGTTCTACAAGATGGTTTTTACTAAATAGCTTTTATTATCTCAAAATTACATTCATTAAAATTGGGTTTGACCTCTAAGTGGTTGTCAGGAAAGGATTAGTATACAGAAAACTTAAATCCTAGACAAGGTTTGGGTCAACAGGTGGGCACCAAATAATATTAATTTGTAAGTTTCCATCTTGAGCGCTAACAGCCAAGCCATTCTATAGCTAAAACAAGGACCACAAAATACATCCTCCAGAGAGCATATCTTACCAAAATGATATGAGCACATTCTTTGGGATATTTGAGCGCTATTTGTGCTGAATAGTAGCCATATCTTCAGACCATGGAGCCAACTATCCAGGACCTTCTCTCACCTTCAATGTTATCAGCAAGAAATGTCAAGAGACTCCAGGGAAAGGCAGATCCTGAGTTACTCAACTCTTCTTTCTCCTCCTCCATTGAAATTCTCTACTCACTATTTTCTTAAGACAGATGACTTATATTCTTCAAAGTGCACACATTGTCAGGTATCCTTCTACATACCTATCATCCCAAGCACTAGGGAAAAGTGGGCAGGAGGATGGTGGGTGCAGAGCCAACCTGGACTACACAAGTTCAAGATCAGCCCAAAACACATAGTTAAGCTTTGTCTAAAAACCGTGGGAAATCTCACTTCACCTCTCACAGAACAGATATTCTGTCTATAAAATCCTCTGTGGTGAAAACTTGGCCTAGTCCCACCCTTATAAGATGGAACTGGTTCCACTAACTAGTGCTGAAGTAGTTCTTAGGACTACATTTATATTTGAGAGCCTGCAATATTGCTCTCAATTACCAGAAACTCACCAGTCTTCTGCTCTTGACTTTTATTTGAAACTTTCTGTGTCATTTCCTCCCATTGGCATTCATTTTAACTTATTTCAGTGTAATGATTTACTGAGAGTGAAAGAAGACAGACCAGAGAATGAAGAGGACATATAGACTTATCTCAGGTATCATCCTCTCCAAGAATTTACCCCAACTAGCCATCTTGTAAAAGAAGCATATTCATACCATCTCCCTCTCAGTTTTCTACCAGCCAACTATACAATAACTATGCATAAAGAAGATGTGAGGCTCTGAAATCTGAATGCTTCCCAGCCCCCAAGCCACAACTGTGGTTAACTTGAGGGGCCACCACTCCCCCTCAAGAGGGATTTAGTATACTTTAAGAAACATGGTGTTTGAAGACCAGGAACAGTCTGTGGAACCCTTTCTATGGAGATTGCTCACATCTTCTCAATGCTAGCATCCACTTCAGCACATACTTGATAGACTGGGTAGAATGCCTGCCAGACAGATGACAGGAGTCACCGTTAGTGGAGATGTCTGTCTTATATATATTTTAATATATCAGCATTAAGTAAATAATAAATGAACATAAAAAAAGAAAAGGGCACTGCACAAGGTGATGCATGGCTAGCTGTGTCTGTCAGCTGAGGAAACCCCATGCACTTTCAGCCTTTAAGTCCTGACGTTACCACTTCCATACCATAACGCACATCAGAATGATGATAGAAACACATAACAGCCAATAATTTATTCTGCCTGCATGAGACCATGATTTTTTGGTACCCAACTAAACTGGTATTTATTGTTTTATCGTTGCTACCCAGCTTGA